TAACAAGGTCTCTGCATTGTGCATATCACCTCAGTAAGTTACTCTGCTCAGAGAGCCCATCTGTGCTCTCATGCATCACATAAGAGACAGAAATATTATCAGTTAAAAAAGTAAAGTCTTGTAAAATGTTCATTCCCAGTCACGGCTTTTCAAATGTACTTCAGTGTTCAACTTTACAAAACAAAATTGAGGTGTAGGGGCAGGCAGGGTTTGGCCACTCTTCAGGAGTTAGTTTCTCACATTTTTTTTTTTTTAGCTTACCTGAAAGCTCTGCATTTTCATCCTCCACTTGATAAGTACATTTTTCCACAAAAGAATTTTAGTTTGCCGGAATACACTCATATTTCTCTGAAGTCTCTTCATCTTTGAACCTACAAAGAATTTTTTAAAAATTACTTTCAAATACAACAAAAGGTAGAATAACAGTGAGAGATTTTATTTGCACAGTCCTTGCACATGTGCACAGTAATACTTTCGTTCTCTTTTTACTGCAAGAGAGAGAGCTGAAGCAACTCAGACCTCCTGTGCTGAGCACAAGCCAGCCCTGCAGCACAGCTTCTAGCAGCAAGGGACCACGAGACCTCATCATCCTCAACATACTCCCAATCCTTGCAGCTCAGCAGTAAGACACCGATTATAACTAGAATTTCACGCTTCCATGCTGTAGCATGGTAAGGCTGGGAGAAGTTATTCGTGAAATAAAAAAAGGAAGATGAGACTACGTGACCTAATTGGCTTGGGCGGCCTTAATATCCAAGAAATAACGACAACAACATGGTCTATTAAAATCACCAAAATCTTTTTGCATGGAATTTTAATGTGCTATAGGCTTCACACCAAGACGTGTTGAGCAACTCCTGGCTGTGAGCGGAGCTCATACGGAAAGCAGCGTTAATTGAAGGCAACTCGGGGCTACGAGAGAACAAATTCTTGGAAGTGCCTTTGGAGAGCTGTCGTTGTCGGGGATATTAATGGGAAAGGAGAGAGAAACAGCCACGAGCATGCGTTGGTGTGTTACTCCAAAAGACGTGGCAGCATCCTTAAAAAGATGTGATTAAAACAAAACGAGGATTTGTTGCCTGGATTAACGCTGGTGGTGGCAACTTAAAGAAGTAGGCATAAAGCAAGCTCTCAGAGTAACTTTTGCAGATGAGATATGTCCATATTAACATCAGTAAAATAATAATTAATAACTCCAGTGAGCAAAAGGACTAAGTATCCAAATGCAAAAGAGTTACACTCAGATAGCCAGCTGCTCTGCTGTCACGTATGTAGCTAAAACATGCTTTCAGACAAGATCTTGATTTTCTCGAAGTGAAGTCTCAGGTCGAAATATCAGAGCATTTATAGACCTAATCCTTTCAAACCTTCCTGTCATACAGAAGGAGGATTTACATTGTCTTGTTCCCTTTGGGGAATGATGCCTCACGGTGCTGACAGGCAAGGCAGAGTTTATCTTCTTCCAAATATTTATATTCAGCCCGCGGGAGGGGCACATCTCTGCTGTAACAAGGCAGCAGGCACCGAAATGCTGGAAAAGCAGCTGCAACAAGTGGTCTTCCCCAGGTACACGCTGCAAACAGAGGTACCGGCATGGCACGGCGGGAGGATGGGGCAGGGACGTCGGCTCAGTGGCAGAAACCTGCTATTTTGCCATCACTCTCTCAATAGATTTTTCCCTTACAGATGATCTCACTAAATCCAGGTGTATAAAAATTTGAATTTAACCTGTGCTAATGACTGTGAAGTTAAACGTGCAATTGCTTGGTCACTTTTTCACCTAACAGAAGCACGGTGTAAGACAGCGTGTATCACCCGTGTGCACTTCCACAGCTGAAACGGGATTTGTGTCACAGCTAAAGCAGGTTTCCAGTTTGTCCTTCAGTTTAATAGTCTCATAGAATAATCTCGACAAGCTGACACACCACTGGAGTTTCAGCTTCACACCCAGGAAATCCCGGGTGGGACGGGGAGCCAGCGCTCCAGGCACCCGCTGCGGGTGTCCCAGCGTCCCCGCTCCCCGACACCCCTCAATGCCGCCTGACCCCAGCCGCGCTGCTGCAGAGCTTGGGCAGTTGGGGGAAAACTCGGCAGAACTGATCTCATTGCTCCTTCAGTATTTCAGGGGGAATTTTTAAGAGCGTAAGATGGTCAGAAGACTTTTAAAATTAAATCTTTAGCTTACAGTGCTTGTAGGGAA